TGGCCAAAGCCTTCAATGTGAGTTGTCGCTGGTCCGAATCTTGCCGAATCATATCAAAGACTTATAAAATTTGTACTAGTAACTTCCTCGCTTGGTGCTTAGAATTAAAATGTTTGTCTTAGATGAGGTCGACTTGGTATCAAGATAATGTGACTGGGTGGGACATGATGCACCATGTGTGCTGCTTGATGCCCTACAGCTAGATATCCCTATAAATTGACATCTTTGCCATGTGACTAAAAATGTAACGCTCTCTCTCTCTCTCTCTCTCTCTCTCTCTCTCTCTCTCTCTCTCTCTCTCTCTCTCTCTCACACACACACACACACACACATACACACACTGAGATTTATTTTCTTCCTCCAATTATCTAATTTATTGCTGAATTCGCTGCAGTTATCATAACTATACAACTATAATTGTTAAAATTGTTAAATTTACGATACAGTTGTAAGTCACACACTCTGTTTTTCTGTCTGTCCCTCTTTGTATGTCTCTCTATCTCTCTCTCACAAAAATGACTTGTTTTCTTGCTGATGTTTATTGTTTCGTTTTTGTTTTAATTTTCTATCTAACATTAGTTTCAAAAGGATTTTTCCTCTTGTACAATTCATCTAAATCCTTCCATAAAATATTACATATATCCTGCGAAAATAATGTCTAATTGTTTACTTATTTTACAGCAAAATCTATAATTAGAGAGGACTTCTTTTGGGCTTTGTATATTCCAACAATACCCCATGTATGTCCTGTGTCTGCCATCATTAATCTATATCTTGAAATTCAAATTATTTTTAAATATGGAAAATATCGCTAATACTAATGGGTAAAGAAACATTGTAAGAACATAGGACGCTTAATATGATGGTTACCATAAACCGTTGTTTATGTTGGTGGATGTCGATTGCAAGCTTGCTTTTAGTTTAGCTTTTTATGTACCTTAAATGTAACAATGGTCGAGAAAGATTTAATGATACAAGTACGATGTCTTTATGTATCTTACTTTTTTCCAACGTCTTTCTGCCAATGTGGTTTATATTGTTACAAGCCAGTGGTCTTTGCTTGACCGAGCGGTGTCAAAACTCTGGCGCTATTCCTCTAGAAGTCATAAGTTTATCCCAAATTTCCAAAGACTTATATACAACTTCAGTTGTATGTGGGAAAACCCGACGTGTCCATCATATACCTAAATTTTACTCTAATCAATGCAAGACCACATTATTCACAACTTGCAAATTATCCATCAACCTCACATCCGCATAGCTTCTCTACATCAACTTTCCGTATTGTCAGCAGTTCACACCGTAGATACTCTACAACTATACTTAACATAGTGGACTATTTTAACTACGCCACCTTAGGCCAGTCAATCTACCCTTTCGAGGCACATCACGCCAGTAAACTTACATCACATTTGCCACCATGACGACATTTATTCCATAGTATAATTTACCGGTTTCATACCGGAAATGTGCCACTGCAGTCACAACAATCAATGTACACCATTAGATTTTATTAAGTACTACGTCAATCTAGGCTCAGTCATGCGGATTGGGTCTGAATTCGTTACGCATTGACCATGACATCATGGAAACTCACTAACACTTTCTCTCCATGACGTCTGCTCCTAGTAATTGGCTAATTATTTTCGGGCAAAGGAATATTTCCCATTTCACCGAATTCCAATAATCAAACAAGTAATCAAATAGATCTAAGAATTGCTTCAACGGAGCGTTATAACCAAATGCGCATCACCTTAATTTTATTACAATATTACAAGATATATTGATTTTATACTAAAGTTATCTTGCAATATATATTATAGTATGTGCAGAGATAACATTAGGTTGGGTACAAGATGCTTTCTAGTTCATCTATGAGAGCTTAAAATCCAAGTAGTTCGATTAATCAATTAATCTTGGAATTGTCCCATATAAGACAGAAGTACACCTTAAATTGCCTATAAGTCCTCTACTAGGAACCCCACGTATCAAAACCATGTTTTATTGTGACAGCCTACACGAAATAATATTATTCAGTCTTGGAGTAACAAATGAGCATAATAATTATTTATAACATATTTCATGTTAAGTTCAATAAGATATTAGTGTAAATTAACTACAGCTAATACAATTCGCGTCCGTTCGATGGATTCAAGGCAGACAACCAGTTGACATATTAGGCATAAGTTACTTATAACAAAATGTTAAGCGATGTATCTTGTACGCTTGGTAAAGGTAAGAATGTATTCAGATAAAATATTCTCAAGGTGTAACTCAACAATGCAAACGACCCAGGGAAGAATACCCATTAACATTGACCTCTTGCAAGCCAATCTCTACCCAGTTATTCCTAACCCCGCAATAATGCTTTCTCGATATGACTAAAGTCATCGTAGGAAAGTAAAATGATGACATCTATAGAACTGTTTGATTGGACTATTAACAGACGTATTTGTTCGCCGAACTGGTAGGTGTAGGAACAATAAGCAATATTGTTTTGGGGATCATAAAATAAGTGGTGCTGTAGTTTGCGGAGAAGGTAGAGATTCACGTGGTTTTTGCTCTGAAAAGATGTTTAATGGTCTGAACAAGTGTCTCTCTGTAATGAAATGTGTGTTTGTCTGCAAAGACGTCTACACTGGTATTTATTTGCAATTAAATGTGTTTTCTGTGCTTCCCTATATTGTTTGTTCGTGAGTATACCTTTGTTTAACACTTTTGTGTGAATACAATGTAAATTATGTATATATGAGTACAACTTTGTGATGAAATACACACGTACGAACAACGTCTCAAAATGTATCTAAATCTGATATATAAACACCCACATTTGTCTTTCTGGGCCATGGTTGTCTAAACCCCTGTCGTCTGTCCAAAATGTTTTCCAAAAAATATTCGGGAGGGTTTTTAATTCTATGTTCACACTTTCTTTATAAATTGCTAACCCATCTTTATATTTAATGCTTCTTTTTATTACAGTCATGTGACGGGCACTTAAAAATATCGGAAACAATTATTCATATAAGGTACCACATAACCAGAGGTCTAGGCAAGTCATGCATTTCATGTTGTCTTAACAATAGTTTCTTTCCAGATGGACAAATATTATGAAATATTGAGTTGAAAATAACCACATTTTGTTTTTCCCTGGCTGTTAATTGAATCAAGTGTAAAAAATAGAAACATGTTCAAACATGCAGAAGGTAAATTACGCATCAAACTCCTTTTGAAATATAAAGAGCCATGACTGAGATTGTATCATTCAATGCCGTGGGTTTGTCTGACTAATTGGCCATGACGACCCTCCTACTAGGTGTGCATATCCAGATCAGAATGTGGGGAATGTTACGTTTTCTTATTAACTGTACAAGATGAAAACAAAATCAGATATACTTGTTAAATAAACCATATTACTGACCTTTGTTGTAGAATCAACGGGCATATGTCCCTCATAATATTCTAATGCATGTAATATTAGTATGTTTATCAAGAAAATTCTAACTTTCAACGTCAAATTTTATATAAATTATAAATATCGAATAAAAATATAATGGTATTCGTCCTAATATATACAATGTTGAAAGGAAAAGCAACTCCATCCCTTGAGATTAAGGAGAGGACAATCGACCAAAACTTTATCATATCATTAAATATCCATAAAAACATTTAAATATAGCTCCTTTGTGTTAAAGGCCAGCGATGGCTGAGTGTGTGAGTTTAATATGGATTTCTAGCAGCTTTAACACTTTTTCAAACATATGGCTGCGATGTCTGCAGTGTGGCAGTTTATAGTGATGTCTCTCACTGGGGCATCATACCACGGAAATGTAGCATCATGCCCCACCAGTAACATTATTCTGACACCAGGCCGACCAGTCCTAACACTAACCTCTTAATACTGAGCGCCCACCAAGGCAGCTGTTAGAATCAGTATTTTATTTACAAGTCTTTGGTATGAGTCGTCCTGGGTTCGAACCCACGACTTCACGCGTCATTCTTAAACGCGCGCTCCAATAATAACCTGAAGGAATAGTCCAAATAAGTCAATTTAAATCATTTCAAGCATATACAGAACGTTACAGTAACAACGGAAAGTAGCTGAAAATAACACTTTGTTTATAATGTCATTCAAGTTCACAAATTTTATGCCGTCTGGGTCAATAATTATTTCTTCTTCTTAAGCTGTTAATAAAGATATCATGATCATTAAGTTAAACCTGAAGCAGAAGACAGCTTCCGGACCTAACTCTTTCTAAAAGCCATTATCTGCTATAGGTCGTTAAGCCTGATGAACATGAATCAAGATGTACTTAAAAACACCAGTTAATACGTGATACATAGTACTTCTTGAGGACATGGCAGAATATGAGATCGAAAGGTATGTGTTTAGATTCTTGACAAATCTGAACATGTTCTTTTTTTTTTTATACAAACGTGATCCATCTCTCGATCAAAGAAGATATAAACGTGATCAAAACAATCTTTACAATTATGAAATTATTAACATACTTGGACAAAATGCGAAACATATTTGCTTACTTTCATTTTAGGAAAGCCAGGAAGACTCCAAGGAGTATGTAATGGACAGTTAAGCCGTATGGTGCATAAGTTTGAATGATAAGGATTAATAAAGTAAATCGAGGATCGTGAGTTTTGTAGTCTCTATGAATCTAAGTTCGAACACAATTGATAATGATTATATTCTGAAAAAAGAAAATAATTAGAGGTATTTTAAAATAAATCCAGTGCTGGAAGCAGTGATTATGTAATTAAGATTTTTAACGTAGCTTGAGCAATAATTCAGTCATAGCGCTACGATGGCTGTAGTGTGGCAGTTTATAGTGATGTCTAGCACTGTGGCATTGTGTCGCAGACTTGTAGCATGATGTCCCACCCAATCATATTATCCTGACGCCATGCCTACTAGTCCTAACATTAACCTCTTATTGCTGAGCGTCATGCGTGGCAGCTGTTAGTACCATTTTTGTAAGTCTTTGGTTTGATTCAACCGGGAATCGAACATACAACCTTCCGCAATTGAGGCGGACGCTCTAACCACTAGGCCACCTTAGCGGTGATGGAAGTGGAGATGTGCCAGTGATGGCATGTGTCGTAGTGATGCAGAAGTAGTCTTTTAAATCACTATGATACATTCAGTAATATATCCTTATTTGAATTTCACTATCATTCCAAGCCTTGATGTCCATGGATTAGTTGTGAGCACTTTGCATTAAATAACTTGAATTAACTAATTTGAATAAATATATTCCAGCAAAAATGAAATACTGGACACAGTAATAATGCAACTGATTCTGCTGAGTCCTTATAAAAGGAATAAATAATTTCTAGAAAATCAGCATAATGTAGTCCACTGCCTGACATCAGGTCACGATATACATTTTCTAAAAACAAAACAATTATAAAAGAAAACAATGAAACATTTTGTTCTGAAAGGTTCCAAATGTTTACATGATAAAATCTTGGTTATAATTAGAAGTCTACTACTACGATTATAATGAAGAATATGGTGAACACAATGTCATTGACTCAGGCAAAGATAATAATCATAATATATAACCCATACTAATATTAACAAAACATAGCTATATATTAGTGATTACAGAACTTTAGAAAATCGGACCCAATTTCATTCATTACTTTTTATTGCTAGGACATCTAATTGTTTCTTAGATTATTTTTGGATTTAATTTTAAAACTGAAAAGTTCTACTTTTCAACTTTCACTTTGTATTCAAGTGAAATAAATTATTTGCTAAAGTTTACAAAATTTATTGTAATCAATCAAATTTGTTACTTATCTTAAGAGCAATGATTGGTTGCTCATCCTTGCATACGATGCCTGCTAAAATATTTCAAAAAATTGTTTATTAAAGTTTATATTCCCCTAGTTTTAGACTTTATTACATCTCAAGTATTATTAAGTAAATCTCAAGTATTATTTCACATTTGAAATATTTTTAGTGAAATAAACAGGCTTTGTTTTACAACTCATCAATTCAACTCGAAGACAGTTAGAAATTTGGAAAAAAATGAATTTCTTCAGCTTGCAAGAAAATATGATCTTTATGTGTCAAAGGCTTCTTTAACGAAGCAAGAAATAGAAAAAATATTTGGTGCAATATTTGGTGGAAAATAATACTTTTAATAAAAGTGTTTTTATTTTCTTCATTAAACCTCTATCAGACTCTGACACAAAAGTAAGGAAATTAAAATACAAGATAGAATTAGAGTTAAGAAAGCTTGAACTTCAGAAAGTGGAAACAAAAAATGCAAATCCAGTTACGGAAAAAAGAGAAACATATACAGTTAGATAAGAAGAAGAAGAGAGAGAGAAACAAACACAGTTAAAGAAATATAGAGAAATAAATGCAGTTAGATAAGAAGGAGAGATATAATAAATGCTTTCAAAATTGGTAAAAGAGGAGAGACAGACAGACATGTAAAAATGCAAATGCAAACAGAAGGATTAAAGGGGATCTCACTTTACGTTATGAGAGTTAGAGCTGTGAAGTGAAAAGCACATTCCCACCTTACATACAAATTCAAGTGTTGATGCTTCTAAGGATAATAGGCTAGTAGTGCCCACATTTAGAGAAAAAGAGGTGGACAAATAATTTCCTCATTTTGAAAAAATTGCTGAAAATTCAAAATGACTAAGAGAGCATTGGACTCTACTGTCACATAAATGCAATTTTAGGCATAGCCCGTGATATCTATACTTTCTGAATCAGCAGAGCAGAGTGATGGTTATGATCTGGTTAAGCAATGCATCCTAAAGGGTTATGGGTTTGTTTCTGAGGCTTATCAGCAAAAGTTCAGGAACTATAAAAATGAAGCTGGACAAACTCATGTCGAATTTACAAGGAAAAAGTGCAGTTGTTTGCTAGGTGGTGCTTAGCCAAGAAAGTTGATCAAGATTATGTAACTCTCAGACAAATTTTCATATTTGAAGAGTTTAATAACTGTGTCAATAGAGAAATCAAGAATTATCTTGCTGAGCATAAGGTTGAAACCTTGGAAAATGATACTCGTATTTCTGACCAGTATTTCTTAGCTCATACAGTTTCTTTTGTATGAATGTTTTCAACTCAGTCTTCTGGTAGAAAAGTATTTCAGCCTAATACGATCCCGTTTTTCATTTCAACCTGGTACAAATTTTAAAAATCAAGCATCTAATAATCTTGATCAAGAATCCTTATCTCTTCCTAAATTTACATATCGCAAGAAGAAAGGACACGTTATTTCTGATTGCTACATATTGAACAAAAAGCATCAGAATCAAGAAATACTTCTTCCAAATGCTCTTATTTATAAGAGGTCAAGTTCATGGTCATATGTTTAAAGTAATACATTTTTGGGTCTAATAAAGCCGTCTGATTTTATTATGGAGAATTATGAACCATTCACGTTTCTGTATCACTCTTTGGTGATTCAGCCAAACCCATCCCAATGAAATATTTTAAGGGACACGGGGGCTTCTCAGAGTACTTTTTTATCAGGTACTTTACCTTTTTCTGAGACTTCTTCTTCTTATAAGACTGTTCTTATTCATGGAGTAGAGTGCGGTTTTGATAATGTTCCTCTTCACTTTGTAAATTTGTCATCAGACTTAGTTTTAGGACCCATGACAGTCGGAAGAGCGTTTCCTTTACTTGTTGATGGATTTCATTTATTACTAGGCAATGAATTAGCTGGAAGTAAGGTTGCAGTTAATCCACTTATAACTGCCAAGCCTTATTTGGATCAGATAGTCGATCTTATTGAAAAAGAATTCTCTAACAGTATTCATTTAGCTGATACAAGTATTGGTCACGCTTTTGATAAGGCCACGTTCACTCCTTGTTTGGATCAACCAATAGGTATTGATCACATTGATCTTCTTTGAGCTACTAATTCTCTTTATTGTAATAAGGGCGAAAACCACTTGTCGTCGAACAGGCAAAAATCTTGAGATATTTGTTTCAAAGTGCCATTACTGAAACTGAAGGCGCTCAAGAACCTGTCTGCAATTTCATTCACATAGATTCTTAAGAAATAATGGAGACTTCACGAGGTGACTTCTAATGACGAGTGGTTAGTGAACTATCAAATTGTAGTTCCCAAGTCACACAGACAGGATATTCTTTGTCAGTCATGTGAAACTCCTTTGACTTGTCATTCGGGATTAATAAGACTTATCATAAGATCTTGAGTCACTTCATTTGGTCTAATATTAAAAGTAATGTTTGTAAATACTGCAGAGCTTGTCATACTTGTAAAATGGTAGGAAAACCAATAATAAGATTCCGAAAGCTCATCTGCATCCTTTTCCTGCATTTGACGAACTATTTAGCAGAATAACGGTTTATTGTGTCGGTCACGTACATACGAAAAAGTCTGGTAACCATCAATTGTTGACCATAATGTAAGAGTCGACAAGATTCCCAGATGAAATTCCTTTGAGGAATATTAGGAATTAAAACAATATCAAAAGCTTTGATAAAGATTTTAACAGTTTGGCTTTCACAAATATGATCAATCTGATTAAGGGTCAAACTTTATTTCTGGAATTTTTAGCAAGCTATGTATACAATAATTAAATTTTATGCATATCACCCTGAGGGAAATTAGCTTTAGAAAGCTCTCATTAGACTTTGAAAAATATGATTCGGTCATATTGTTTTGATATTGGTAGAGATTGGGACGAACGCATTCTCTTACTATTGTTTGCTCTTCGGGAATCAGTTCAAGACTTCTTAGGATTCAGTCCCTTTGAATTAGTGTTTGAACACGCTGTATGTGAACCATTGAAGTTGTTGAAAGAGAAACTTCTTTCTGATGAAGATGCTAAAATCAATATTCTCGATTATGTTTCCAATTGTAAGTACAAGTTGTCAAAGCTTTGTGAGGTTGCAAGAGCTAATATGAACACAAATCAGTCAAAAATTAATTAAAGGTATAATAAAAATGGAACGTGAAGGAGTTTCAGCCTGGCGACTGAGTTCTGGCTCTATTCCACGTACCACAAAATCCTCTACAGATCAAGTATTATGGTATCAACACAGTTGAAAAGAACGTAAATTATATACATTACATCATATTTACACCTGGGAGGCGAACACAAAAACAAGTTTGCCACATAAAAATGCTAAATGGGCATATTAAGAGATATTAAGAGAGATATCAAGAGATATCCCACTCTGCGACGATTTAAGCGAAGAACTTCAATCGGATACTATTTTTTTTGGAGGGACAAATATTTGGAATTGATAAATAATGAATTAACTGGACCAGAAACCTTCAAATTCGCGCTAACAAGAAAGTAATGAACTTAAACAGTTATTGCTTGAGTATGATTAATTATTTCCAGATGTTGCAACAAGAACAAACAACATTTACCATGATGTTGAAATTGTGATTTCCAAATATGTGAAACAAAACCCATATAGGCAACCCTATAAACCCGGAATACTTGAAAAAGAAATTCAGTATTTACTGGAAAATGATTTTGTAGAACCTAGTTAAGGTGTCTGGAGTTCACCATATATACTTGTTCTGAAACCAGATAAAATATTCCGCATATGCACTTATTATAGGAAGGTGAACAGCGTGACTAAAAGAAATTCATTTCCAATACCCAGAATCGATAAGTGCACTGATACAATTGGAAATTAAAAGTATGCCACCAAATTGACCTTTTGAAGGATTTTGGTAAATGCCACTGACGGAAATGGCAACGGAAATTTCGGCATGTGTGCCTCCAGATGGACTGTATCAATATAGGAAGTAATGCCAAATGGGATTAAAAGTTCACCATGTACTTTTCAACCTTACCTCTGGTCTAGATAATTGTGATGCTTACACTGATGATGTCATCATCTACAACGACACCTGGAGAGAACGTTTAGCAACAATTCGGAAATATTTGACACTCACTGACGCAAGTTTTACAATTTATTTGAAAGTGTGTTTTTGCCGTCCTTTTGTACCATTTCCAGGACACATCCTGGGACATGGACAAGCTAAACCTATAGATGCTAATGTCAAGGTTATCTATGAATTAAATGTG